CTGTGCTCAATTTTCCTTGTACCAAGTATACTGATATACGTTTCGATGCTCAAAAAAGTGTTCTATTCAGTTGTATTCATAAAAATGCAACAACTTCATGCTGTCTGTCTGAATATACAGGAAACAAGTGAGAAAAGTACAATGGAAAAGAACATTAAAAATGAAAGTATACTCATTACAGTCTGAAAATGCCAAATTTGTGTAAGTGATGACATGAAAGGTTCAGCTATGAAGTGTATGAAAGGCTTTCAACAGTCGGCAACTTTAAAGGATAACGAAACAACATTGTATTTTGGAGTTAGACAGCATATCCTTTCGATATGTTAAGGCAGTGTTAATATGCGATCTCTGTTTACTGTTTACTCACATCCGCCTGAGAGAGCATCTGAAGCTTTTGCTAACACTGCAAATACAAAAAAATGTTTTATATTTAATGTCTAACAATGCTCTAATCACTAATAATTACAGTAACTCCTACAGTTAATTTATTGCAAGATTAAAACAAACAAATTATGGAAAACCAACCTGCCCCAAAGATGAATCCTAACCAGGAACACCAACTAAAATATGAATCACGGACTTTGCCACTACGTACAATCTTCAGGGAGTACAGCAGTTAAATGTCTGTGTTTAAAGCGTAACGTACCTGCACCGGTGACGTATGCTTCATTGCAATCAGTAGAAGTAGAGATTCGGAGAGAAGAACTTTCCATGATCGCTAAACGTCGTTTGCTTAAAGCAGATATGGAACTTAATTGCGGCAGACGGACGTTTCGAGAACGTTATTTGGAGGCTATGAAAATCAGAACGAATTTGCTTCCTCATAGCGGCAATTGTGGCAAGAGAAAGTCACTCACTTGCTTGCAATTCGTTCTGTCAACGAGGTAAATTCTAAGCATAAATCGTTTGACTGTCTATGAGGTTATTGACTTAGACAGCGATCGACTGGCTGTCGTGGCGATGACGTCATCTATGAAAGCAGTAACGACCCGTTTTCTGAGGAGTATGAACTGCGCATCAGCCGCACCATCTTGAAGTTAGAAAAGACGGCAGATTTTTCTGTTCATGACGTCGTCCTTTGTTCAGATATTAATTTCATTATGCTGGCTGCAGAGGTAAATTCGAAACGGTCACATTTATTATTAATCACTGATTTTTGTCTGGATATCGTTCTCATGGACGGATTCACCGCAGACTTCCGTCTAAATCCGGTTAAAGACAAGCCTTCAAGGTTACCGTAACTTTAAAGAGGAAGGCAACAAATTTACAGTAATCTGATGGTGGCTATGTCGGAAGCTTTGAACGAAGCAATCGTGGACTTTACATCTTCCAACTCTACAACTTTCTAACTTAATTCATTTTAATTCAATTTACCTAGCGATGT